GGCCAAACTTTTTATTTAGTATTCTGTAGTTGTTTAACACACACTTAAATGGTCTTATTGGGGGAGGGGAAAGGGGAGGTTCTTGCAGATTCCCAAGGAAATGTCAGAAAGGCAAAATATGGCCAGCATTATCCATTTGCTTTCTTTGGGTTTACTGGGTGAATAGCACTTTCTTTACATAGGCATCTGATCTCAGGTTTTTCATACTGAGAACATTTGAGATTTCAGTTTGAAGAAATCCTGAAATCCTAAGAGTAGCATACCCCAACCACCCTCTAATAGCTAGCTTGTTGGTATGGGTAGAATGAGTCATTTCTCAATGGACATCAATGGATAACTAGGTGGCTAGATGTTTGTGGAAGGTCTTAGAATTGCTTGCCTCATTTACTGGGAAAAAAAAAATCAGATAGGTTGTGGCCTTTCAGGGAAACTTTTACTTGGAAAATTACAACACTAATACAACAAGTCAAGTCTTACACATTTAACATTTGCTTGTTGAAAGCAATGTCATAAAATCAAATAAAATTAAACATGGTTTACTTTTTTCCTCACAAGAACATAAAAATTATGGAGGGGGAACTTAACAGGAAACTTAAAAAAAAAAGTAACACAATTTTTCCTTTTAGTAGTCCTTGGGTAGTTATGACAGAATAGTTTCCACTTTGTTTGTTTCTTTGAACAGGGATTTTGGTCCAAAGTTTTGTTTGTTTCTAGTATCTGCTTCTGCCTCCCCCTCTATCAGATCGGTTTCCTCCACGGCCACCACCTCTTGGTGCTCCGCGGCTTGAACTGCTGTAGGAATCACGTGGAGGAGGGTACCCCCTTTCCATAGAAGGAGGAAGCCCTCTTTCTTGTCTGCCAACCCGATCGCGACCACTTGAGTAGAGATCACTTCGGCTGCTTGAGTAACTGTCTCGACTTCCACCATATCCGTCACGTGAGCTGCTGTAATCATCATAGCGACTGCTTCCACCATAAGATGGCGGGGGCCCTCGTGTAGGTGGAGCACTACGTGAGTTACCATAACTCTCATAGGAATCTCGGTAGGAACCTCCACTTGGATGATCTGAATAGTCCCGATCACGACCATATCCATCTCTATCACTATAGCCTCTTGATGGATAGTCATCACGTGAACTGGAATGACCATAATCACGGTAGGTATAGTCTCTTGGTGGTGGTGCATAATCTCTTGTATCACGAGAACTCGGGTAATCTCTGCTTGAATAGCTGTCTTTAGTAGAGTATCCATCATCTCTTGGGGACAAATAAACATCTCTGTGAGAAGGCAGGGGCTCCCTCCGAGGTGGGCCTCCGTAACTGTCTCTTCCACGTGATACAGGGGCTCTTCCTCCCATTCCACTGCTGCTGCGAACTGGTCCTGAAGGGGCTGATCTTTTAGGAGGAGGACCCCCACTTCGTGGTGGTGGTCCTCTTTTTACTGGAAGCGGTCCCCTGGAAGAACTCATGTTAAAATTCATGGAATAGCCACCATCATCCCTGTGCCCTCCACGTGAGGGAGGTCCTCGAGTTCCTCCACTTCCTCCTCTTCCTCCCCGAAGACCTCTTGGTGGGCCTCTGCTTCGTGGAGGTGGAGGTGGTCCACGCCTACCACTTTCAAATGATGGCTTGGTAGCCTGTTCCACCTTGATGGCTTTCCCATCCAAGGACTTTCCATTCATGTCTCTGGCAGCATCCTTAGCATCTGCTGGGCTTTCAAAGGTGACAAAAGCAAAACCTCTTGATTTGTTGGTTTCACGGTCTTTCATCAAGAGTACCTCCACTATTCGTCCATATTTGCCAAATACTGCTTCAAGGGCTTTCTCATTTGTTTCTGTATTAAGCCCACCAATGAAGAGCTTTCCTGGGCGATCTGCTTCAACCATTTTTTTTTACCCCAGTGAATCGCAGGGGTGACGACGGTCGTAAGCTCCTTCGAGCTCGCCGGCAAGGAATTCCCAGCAGCTCAACACGAGTGAAAGCCGCACGCCTGAGCCCACAACCGGGAAGCTGACTGCACTACTGCGCAACGAGCCTATAATGTAAATTTTAAAAATGTCGGCAAAACTAGAAAAAGACAAAAAATGGGTGACAAAATATATACTTTAGGCCTTTAAGAAAGCTTTCACTCTTAATAAAGCCAAAATCAGGGTGTTTTTGTTCTGCAAGAAGATTTCAAATTTCCATTATGTTATTTAATCCTATAGCAACTATGGTCTAGATAGGGGTAGAAAAAAAGCATGCTCTTACGTGGACATGAAAAGTATGGGAAGGATTATAAACAGTGTGCACTTAACTCCTGTCATCATAATGTCACTATTTTATTGAAGGGGCGTTCTGTCCTGTTGAAATAAAAATTGAGGTGATTGAACATACTCATACAACACATGTACAAATAAGAACTGTAACTGTGGGTTTCAGAGGATAAGTGACATGTATTCCTTCATTTCTTCATCAAATATTTCTTCAGCATCTTCCAAGCGCCTGGTAGATCTTCCAAGAGTGAGACGTAGCAGCTGGTCTCAAGGAGCTAGAGTTCACGGTTCTTCTTTGGCGTGCATGTAAACAAATCCCCATGGAATATGTTGTAGTGATGATACAGGAAACTCATGTGGAAGCAGCATTTTCAAATACATTATTTCAGAACTACATGATTCTGGACGTTAAAAACACTGGTTTCCCTTCTTTCCAGTTTCAGCAATCAGAGTCCATATATGTGAGATTCAGGAGCTAAATTTTGTAGTAGAAGCAGAATTTAAGCTGCTTCACGGTAAAGGTTTGTATTCTTTGTTCTTGTGGTCAAACATTTGAGACACTGATAGGGAGAATTGTATTCAAGGATAGTGCAGACAATATTCAACATCTTTATATTCTGGAGAACAGAATTTGTAAATTATGGAAGTTTTCTTACAGTTTCAAAAGCAACTACTTCTACAATAAAGGTTACTTAATTAAAACTTACCCAACTGAAACACCCATTTATCTGAAACAAATGTTTATGCTATCCACATCAACAACTCTTCACATGAGTAGCTAACAATAAACAATGGAATGGTGCCCAATGAATATAAATTAAAGCAAATTGCTCCTAATACACTTTGCCCTAAAATATACACATTTCCACATAGGCATATACTCACAGGCACACATATGCACACACCCTTTCACACACACACACACACACACACACAAAGAAAGCTCTGCTGTCGTAACCTCTTTAAAAGGTCAATTAGCATGGATTGAATCATAAAGATTTTATTTTCATTTTAACCTTGAAGCCCCAGTTTTAGCCACTGATAAGCCATGAGTTTCAGTTAGGACCAGCTACTTGATGGCAAGTAGTCAGAATGCTTAGAAAGGTCTAATGCACAATACATTGCTGAATCTTCTGTTCAGAATTATCAAGGATTTTAAGGCAGCAATAGCATAACACAAAACCTTATGTGATCTTTGTGAGAGCACAACCATGGTTTTTCTGTGGCCATAAAGCCAGCCCTGGCTTCAGATATTCCTTATCAATACATTGTGTATGAATTTTCCCAAAGACTACACTGTATATATAGCAAAATGACAACAATCTGCCTAAAAGTTAAATTATAATAATATATTCCTTTCATAGGCCTGTATCAAGTATAAAAGCATTCTTGGGTCCCAATTAAAATTCTTTTATAATCAAAGTTTGTCATGCTTACTTGATTTTGCTTTTCCCTGTTCTACTCAGCCTTAATCACACAGCTTATGAGGCAGAGAAAATGCTATGTGTTCATCAAACTGTGTGTATTAGCCTCCTGGGCATATTCCCAGTCTTTGTGCATTTGATTGAGTCCATGTGACCAGTTCTGCCCAAAGATAACACCTGTCCCATAAGATGTCCTTTGAGATCCACAATCTCACCTCACCGCGTTTTCCTTATTCTTTCGTGGGCTCCCCTCACTTCTCTACTTACATGGCTGGAAGTAAGGTACTCTGAAATTGGAGCTTCCAGGGGAAGACCCTGAATATGGAACAGAACCATTCAGGGTTGCTGTTTCACCTATAGTGAAGTGCCACACAGATTATATCTTATTGTCTTAGAGAGTATAATAATCTGAGGCAGGGATTTGGCCTGAGAGGAGTTATCAAGCTTGTTGGATCATTCTGACACATATGGACATTGGACAACCTTTTGAGAAAGTGCTGAGCCCCACTTTACAGTGGACTATCAAACAATGTGCCAGTCAACAGCTTTGCATTAACCAGTAGGAAAGTTTACACTCTCATCATAGTGTACATTTATAAACTTTAATGCACTTTTTCATACATACTATTGGAGGATTCCAGAATTATCTGAAGATTTCAAAACCCATGGCAATGAATTATCATACATACAGTGATCAATAGCAACAACGATCCTTTCCCAAGCATCCCCTCAAATTTCACCAATCCTCATATATCTACTAGTAGGATTTGCAGACTTCAGAAATTCAAATTACTCAAGGCAGTATTTAATGAAAATCTTAGAATCTGGACTCAGACTAAGAATCTGGCAACACTGGTCCTAGGAATCCCTGAGCCTGCCTTTTTTTCTGTAGGGACAAGATGAGATGGCCAGTGTGCTTAGAAAATGGCAAGTGTTCTTTTCTCTTTGGCTGTGGAATGTTAGCATTTATGGGAAAAACCAATTGAGTACTTACTGGATCTGTGTAATCAAGCATAATTGTCATCATGTGACTGGCAGTTATTGGAAGCTCCTGTGTGAGACAATGCCAGAACCAGTATGCAAAGAACTACCTACACAGTAGATAGTAAAATGAAAAATAACTTTTTCTGCAGCCCAGGCAATCAGCATGATGTTGGGACAGCCCATGAACTTCGGAATGTGAGATCTGGGATGAGACCTAGTCTTAGCACATAGGTGCTTCAGGTTATTAAGCATCTAAGATCCAGATTATCTGAATATAAAAGGATGCTAATGCCTACATTACATAGAGGAATTAAAAAATAAAAAAAAAAACACTTACATCAGGTTTTCTCAAGTTTATGTCATAAAGAATCCCGAAAAACAAGGAAATTCTTTTACTCAGATGTCTTGAAGATGAAGATTGTCAAGCATTCATCATCAGCCATCTTCCCTCACAGCCAGACATAGGCTCGTCTTCCAAACAACGCTTCAATTGTCCAAACATGGATAAGCTGCAGGAAATGATAATTCATTAAATATTTATGAAATATTGAACTATCATATTCACACCCAGGGAGTTTAATGAGAGAAATTACTTCTTCATTTTGAATCTTTAAAAGGACTTCAGGGATCCTTAGTTATATAGATTCATCTAGGATAGCCCTTTTCTATTTATATTACCTCTATAAATGTTTTATTTACTGTACTTTGAGAGGTCCAGGATGGTTTTCCTTACAAGAAAGCCCCAAAATCCTTCAATGTAAGGGGATATAATTTTACTGGTGTTTTTTGTAAGATTTATTTTATTTATTTGAAAGACAGAGTTAGAGAGAGAGGCAGAGACAGAGAGAGAGGTCTTCCATCCGCTGGTTCACTCCCCAGATGGCTGCAACAGGGCAGAGTTGCACCGATCCAAAGCCAGGAGCCAGGAGCTTCTTCGGGGTCTCCTATGTGGGTGAAGGGACCAAGGACTTGGGCCATCTCCCACTGCTTTCCCAGGCCACACCAGAGAGTTGGATTGGAAGAGGAGCAGCCAGGACTAGAACTGGCACCCATATGGGATGCCGGCGCTTCAGGTCAGGACTTTAACCCACTGCGCCACAGTGCTGGCCCCTTTAATGGCTTTTTAAAACTTATGTTTTCTTGGTATGAATCAGACATCACATTCATTATTATTTATAAAAATTTCTTTGCTCAATAATTTTAAATGTACCTAATGTGTTAATATGTACTGCGATTTTTATAAAGGAAAAAATTTAGTCATCTAATAAATTTGTTATTTGAGATGCGTTACATTCATTTTAAATTTTGAAATGTCCTAACACCTACCTAATATCCTGGGTTGAACTTTCCGACAATAACTGAAAAACTGGATAACACAATTTAGTGTAGTTTAATATACTAGCAAAATACCTATTTCTGCATTAAGGTTGTTCCATGGATTAGAAAGTTTCAGAAATAGATAACATTTGTTAATTTTATTGTGAGCTTCCAACAGACAAGGTATCTATTGCCCTAGAAAATAGTTTTTAAAGATTTATTTATTTATTTTGAAAGGTAGAATTAGAGAGAGAGAGGAGAGACAGAGATCATCTACCCACTAGTTCACTCCTCAGATGGCCACAACAGCCAGGCCTGTGCCAGGCAAAGCCAGAAGCCTGTAATTTCTTCCAGGTCTCCCACATGGGTGCAGGGGCTCAAGTACTTAGGCCATCTCCCCCTGCTTCCCCAGGCACATTAGCAAGGATCTGGATTGGAAGTATAGCAGCCAGGACTCCAACTGGTGCTCAGTAGTACAGCAGGCCGCAGGTTAACATGTTGTGATTCAGCACTGCCCCTTCCAGAAAATACTAATGGAACGCTTTCTAGATACATAAAACTCCATCGGATGTGTGGAATAAAGAAACATAAGACACATAGTGTTTTCTCTCATCCTTTCTTTAATCTAGTTGGAAAGACAGGACAAACACCAGCGAATAGCAACCTAACCTTTTAGCAAAAGAAGTGTCATGGTTCTAAACCAGTAGAGTAAAGCAATTGCAGAGTTAGGGGAGGAACACATCCTTAAAGGCTATGAGATTTGGATATTTGCCTTCTAAAATGACATATTCTTGCTTCCAATGTGCAATTTTTGTATGGTTTTTCTCCATGATCTAATTTTAAAAGAGTGAAAGACACTACACAGATACTTAGTAGAAAATTATATATGGAATAAGCTAGTCGTGAAGAAGCAGCTATTTAACTGTATGCAATGTAACTTAGTAGAAGTATTGTCAGCAAAAGAGAAATTCAGACGCACTATCAGAATGGATTTCCTTTCACTATATTAACCTAAATGACTCAGTTATACATTCTATTTTCATTGAGGTTTTTTTGTATTTTATTTTATTTATTTATTTATTTTTGACAGGCAGAGTTAGACAGAGAGAGAGAGAGAGAGAGAAAGGTCTTCCTTTTTCCATTGGTTCACCCCCCAAGTGACCGCTACGGCCGGCGCGTTGTGGCCGGTGCACTGCGCCAATCCGGAGCCAGAAGCCAGGTGCTTCCTCCAAGTCTCCCATGCAGGTGCAGGGCCCAAGGACCTGGGCCATCCTCCACTGCACTCTCGGGTCACAGCAGAGAGCTGGCCTGGAAGAGGAGCAACCGGGACAGAACCAGCGCCCCAACCAGGACTAGAACCCGGGGTGCCGGCGCTGCAGGCAGAGGATTAGCCTAGTGAGCCGTGGCGCTGGCCCTCATTGAGTTTTGCGACAAATTATTTACATTTCAGTGATTAATAGGAAACATCTAGCCTGTACATTTTTATAAGGCTTTTTTGTCCAATAAAGGAGAAATCTTCATGGATAACTTATGGAATGATTGATTTGGGGACTACCTGTTAGATACTAAGTTAGAATTCCAAAATATGACCTTAGACCTGAAAAGCATTGCCATCTAGCTGGGAAGTCAGAACTGAATATGTAATACAATAATAAAAAGTAGGCATGAATTAAAGGCTAAATGAGCTAATTAGACACAGATGTGTAAGTAATTACACTATTCCCAAACCAAAAGGAACCATTCCCATCCTAATGCTGATTTATGAACCTGGGAATGATACTGATGTATCCTCTTATTAATTTCAAATTTTCAAAATCTGTATTATTTGCAATAATACCAAATAGGTAGGGAAGATATTTTGGAGGAAAGAGGGTTCCTAAACATTAGTTACAGAAGTTTCATAAATAACTGTTCTTACCAAATTATATACTGGATACTTGGATGCCTCTAATTCCTCAAGGGAGTGGTACTCTCATCTTCATAGAATCAGATGTCAAAATTAGAGGGGACCAAGAGAGGCTCTTTTTCCAGTGCCATCGTATTGTAGGGATAGCTGAGACCTAGAGAGGGGAAGACATCTTTTTATCCATTGTCAGCCATGTTTCCAAGTAAGAGCAATTCACATTTCACTGAGATCCTTAGAATTAACCCTAGCATTTTTTTCTTCATTCCATGCTTTTTTGCTATAGGTGGAACACATGACATTGGAAAAACTTTGGTATTTTCCAAAATGTTAATGATTGAAGTTAGGGTTTGGCAAGAAAAAGCAACTTCGTTCACCATTACAAATCTTCTCAATGTGTGTTTCCTAAATATCATTATGACTTCTACGCAGGAAAAAAAAAGTAAAGTCACAATACTTTATCTCCCATTGATCTTAAGTAGCAACAAAAATTAAAAATATCTATAATGTAACATCTGTGATTTAGAATCATTGTGACAGCACTACGCTTCTGAGAGAAAGTTTTAGAAATATTTCTTGCAGCTTCATATGAAATACAGGATTCCTGCCAGCCAACTTAAAGAAAAATCATTCTTCCTATAAGGTGTGTTGAATACCATCAGAGCTTTGTAAAACAACATTTTGATTAGCAAAGTAAAAATAAGTCAAAATTGGCAACACTATATGCTATGGTTTTAACCAAATCAAGACCAACTGGGTGATAAGAAGTAAAATACCAGTAAGAAAGATTCATTCCATTCTCTATACTTTGATTAGGATTCTGGATCCTCAAATTTAGGATTCATTTTTTTCCCCAGGACTTATCTTTTTTTTTTTTTTTTTTTTGACAGGCAGAGTTACACAGTGAGAGAGAGATACAGAGAGAGACAGAGAGAAAGGTCTTCCTTTGCCGTTGGTTCACCCCCCAAATGGCCGCTGCGGCTGGTGCTGCACTGATCCGAAGCAAGGAGCCAGGTGCTTCCTCCTGGTCTCCCATGCGGGTGCAGGACCTAAGCACTTGGGCCATCCTCCACTGCCTTCCCGGGCCACAGCAGAGAGCTGGACTGAAAGAGGAGCAACCAGGACAGAATCTGGTGCCCAGACCGGGACTAGAACCCAGGGTGCCGGCGCCGTAGGCGGAGGATTAGCCAACTGAGCCGTGGCGCCAGCCCCCCAGGACTTATCATTGCCTGATGATAATTACAAAGGTGTGGTAATCAAAGGCCCTTAAATCAAACATACATGGTAGATCTGCTGCACTGCAAGAAGCATTCGTTGCAAGCTGGTGGGGCAGGATGTGCTTGCCTTTCAACTGGCAAAGCAGACTTCTCGGCTGGCACAGAACTAACTCTGCCTTCAATCTTCCTGAGCTATGCCCTGCTAGAGTAATTTGGCTAATTGAAAATGTCTGTCTTTGGAGAAATCTTTCATCATGTTAGTGTCATTTGTAGGTTGCTGAGGAAGATCTCCAAGGCAACAGTGCTGTCTGGCTGCCTAAAATGTCCCCAGTGATCACACTCCCATCTAAAGAGGCCACTTAGACAAGAGGCCATCCAGTAACATGTCAGCCATGCTTGATTGCCAAACAGCGCACACAAGCAAAGTGTTTTTGAGAGCATGCAAAGCCTCCAGGAAAGCAGTGTAGACGGGAGATTCCCAGCCCACCCTGGACAGTGCCAGTTATCTCACGAAGTAGTGTGGAATTGTAACAGCCTTAAAAGGAGAATTGCCCAAACACCTTTTTTGTTTTTAATTTTAAATTGAGGCCAGCGCCGCAGCTCAATAGGCTAATCCTCTGCCTGTGGCACCGGCACCCAGGGTTCTAGTCCCAGTCTGGGCACCGGATTCTGTCCCAGTTGCTCCTCTTCCAGTTCAGATCTCTGCTGTGGCCCAGGAGTGCAGTGGAGGATGGCCCAAGTGCTTGGGCCCTGCACCCCATGGGAGACCAGGAGAAGCACTTTGCTCCTGGCTTGGGATCAGCGCGGTACTCCGGCCGCAATGCGGCCATTTGGGGGGGTGAACCAATGGAAAAGGAAGACCTTTCTCTCTGTCTCTGTCTCTGTCTCTGTCTCTCTCTCTCTCTCTCATTGTCTAACTCTTCCTGTCCAAAAAAAAAAAATTTTAATTGAGATCTATGTTGCCAGCCACCTGGGGAGAATAAATTGGAAAAGTAAAGAGAATCAACATAGAAATTCTTTCACAATGAAAACAGAATTAAACCTTAGGACATGATGTATTAGAAGATGTGTGTAAAGTGATTTTTAACACAATTGAAATGAATGCAATACAGGTTTTCAGTGTTTTATTTCCTAGTCATTTTGTCTATTTTTAAATTACTGTTATATTTCCATAACATTTTGAATGTTTTTCACATTCTAAGAGTTTCATTCATTTTTGATAAACATTTAATAGTATATATGTATGTAATGCAGTATGATATTTCAAGACACATACAGTATGTGCTGATCAAATCATGGTAATTAGCATTTCTATCTCTGATCATTTCTTTATCTCTGGAGCCTCTGAATTTCTCTCTTCTAGTAATTCATAAAATATATAATAGTTTGGGGCTGGCATTGTGGCATAGCAGGTTAAGCTGCTGCCTGCAATACTAGTATCCCCTATGGACACCAGTTTTTGTCCCAGTTGCTCCACTTCTGATCCAGTTCCCTGCTAATGCAGCTGGGAAAGCAGTGGAAGATGGCCCAAGTACTTGGGCTCCTACCACCCACACGGCAGATCTGGATGGTGTTTCACTGAGGACATTTGGGGAGTGAATCAGCGGATGGAAGATTCTCTCTCTCTCTCTCTCTCTCACACACACACACACACACACATACACACACATATGCTCTGTGGCTCATGTAATTCTGCCTTTCAAATAAATAAAATCAATCTTTTCATATATATATATATATATATATGTTATTGTGACCTACAGTCACAGCACTGTGCTATGGAAAGAGTATCTGCCTTAATCTTTGAAGCATCAGCCTGCTATTAGAAAATGATTAAGTCTTTAATTTTTGTTCTGAATGGGAGAGGAAACTATATACTGACTGTATCTATCCAAATAAAATTTCACCAACATACATCAAGTGAATTTAACGAAACAAGAAGATAGCACCAGTGGGGAAAAGCAATCAGTCTGTGAGAAGACAAATCCAGTTTGTCTTGTTCTTGCCACTGTGGCCCAGCTCAGCCGCTTTTCCCGTGTCTCTGAGTCCCTGATCTAATCACAGTCTCTCTATGCTCTGTGGCTCCTTTCCCATGACTCACTCTTGCTTTGCCTCTTTACCTCTCACCTGATCATGCTAGGAACTCAAGCGTGCCTCCCTGCTTTGTGTGCCTATCTGCTGCAAAGTTTCCCCAACCGCCTGAAACTAGCAGCTGGGACAGTAGTAAATACTTAGAATTCTTTTAACCCTCAACTCAGGGGCTCCCACCATACAGCCCATTCTTTGGGATCTGGGTTTAGGCCAGATGTGCCTCTCCACAAAGCTGTGCCTCTCCACAAAGCTCATTTCTAAAGGATCTAGAATATGCATTGATGAGCCCTCTGTTCTATGTCCTGGGATGAGCCTATCTATTTAAAAGTGCTCGTCAGTTTGGCAGAGCAGCTTCTAAAATGTATTTATAAGTAAATACTTTGGAATGTCTGTTTTAATGGAAGCTATCTTTTACAGAATGGTTTAAGTCACAGACCTACTCCAAGTATGTATCCAGATCACAAAGAACTTGCAGAATTTTACTGAACCAACAGATTGGTGTCTCATTTGGTTATAGCTGGAAGGGAACATGGAGATTATATAACCCAACATTTTACTTCATAGGTGATAAATGGAGATATTAAATAGCTATTTTCCTAATCCCTATACAGCAAGAAAGAGCCCGACTGGGACTCCTGCTTACTGCCAAGCTGACAAGATCCCAATCAACCCACCCACAAACTCGGATCATTAGTATTAGCATTCAGTGAAGAAATGAGGCTCCAATAGGTCCAATAATTTGGTTGCAGTGTTAACAGCTAGTAACAGAATGGTGGCACGTGGGTTTAATATGTGTTTTCTCAGATTCATATAGATCTCAACTTGACCACAGTCATTATTTATCAGTTTCATTGAGAATTGATTTAGTGATACAATTTCTTAATCTAAGATCATATCCCTTTCCTATACCATGGGAGGAGGGTCACTTTTCTCATCCTAAATCCAAGCCATTAAGGGTCAAGCATAGAGGCCAAAATAGACATCTAAATAACACTGGGAGAATACAACATTTTAAAAATGCACTCCTCTTTATTTAAAAAAATTATGGAATGATACAATTTTACTATGTATTTTCTTCTAGTCTTATTTAATTTAGAAAATTAGCCTGAATACTTGCAAATTGTTTTGGTACAGTGCAATATTTCAACACAAATACACTACACCAATCAATCAAACCAGCTAAGTAGCTTTTCCATTTCTTTATGTTTTCCTTATAGTTGAAGATTACCAGCTCCTCTCTTGGCTCTTTACACAGTACAAAATATACTTCTGTGAACTGTAGTGTTTCCTCTGTGCTATGGAATACTAAAACCTGTGTCTTCTCTCTGATTGTGTTTTGGTATCTGCTATCCTATCTCCCTCTATCTGCTCCCACCTCTTTTCAACCTCTAATAATCCTTAATCTAGTTCAGATCAACCAAATTTTTCCAAACTTCCATATATGAGTGAAAACATAATTTTTGTCTTTTTGTGTCTGGTTTAATATACTTAACTTAATGACCTCCAGTTACATTCATTTTGTTACAAATGTCAGGATTTTATTTTTTATGACTGAATAATATTTCAATGTGATATATACCCCATGTTTCCTTTATCCACTCATCAATTGATGGCTTTCTGGGTAGACTTTGTATCTTGGTTATTGTGAATAATGCTTAATGAATATGAGAATGCAGGTATCTTTTTCATATGCTGATTCATTATCTTTGAATATATACCCCCAACTTGCACAGCTAGGTTTATGGTACACCTATTTTGAGTTTTTTGAGCTCCTTCCATACTGTTCATCATAGTGGATGTACTAATTTTCATTCATACCAAGAATGTATAAAAGGATCCTTTTCTCTAC